GGGGGGGGGGCCGAGTGCTTGGCGGTGACCCTGGAAGTGGACCAGAAGTAGTTCTGGTCCACTTCCAGTTCCGCTGGGGAGCACGCGGGGGGCCCCCCCCTGCACCCCTCAGCTCAGCAATCAGCCACGGGGGGACCCTGGGTGCCCCCCCCAGACCCAGGAGGACCAGTTGCCAAGCCAGGGGGGGTGCAGGGGGCTCCCTCTCCAGCGGACCTGGAAGTGGACCAGAAGTGCTTCTGGCCCACTTCTGGGTCTGCTGCCAAGCATGCTGGGGAGCCCCTTGTGCTTCTATGGGACACTCCATGCGCCACAGCATTCATGAGCCACCTGGTACCTACAGGTATGTAGAAAAAACATCTATGTCCAAATCTCTGAATCTTTCCAAATTTCTCCAAATCGATTCAGAGGGTTCCGATTTAATTTGGAGAGATTAAAGGGTCCTCTAATTCAATTCAGATTTGGAGATTCAGCCACAGAGTTGGGCTGAACCTCCCCCAAATTGAATCAGGGACCGAAGCTTCACACAGCCCTAGTCAGCACCCCGCCTTGCCGTCAACACAGCCACTGCTGGCTGTGGGCAGTCCCCACTCACTGCCATGGTGCCCCTCTAGTTGCAGGAAGCACCAGTCGTTCATGGGCAAGACCACAAGTAGGGCAAAGGAGATAGTTTAGCTCCATTGTCTCCTCAAGATTAGATTGCAGTCATGTTCTCTACAGGTTGGGAACATTCAGAAATTTAAGTGAGTGCAGAATACTGACGCTCGCTTAGGAAGAAAAACTGAAAATTGGGAGCATATTAAACTGAAGCTTCATGATCTACTCTGGCTTCCAATAAGCTTTTGAGATTAAATGAAAATGTATGTTTTTACCAATAAATATTCTAAATTATTAGGGAGCTGGTTGCCTAAGAGATCGCCTTTTTCCATGGTGTATTGCCACAGTGGGACAGAGATGTTCAAATGGGATTTCCCAGGAGGAAGCTGCTGACAGAATGTTCTCCACTAAGTGGTCCTTGCTACTGGAAAATCAAATTAGTTAATGATGCTAAAAATCCATGTACACTTTTAAGGCTACAAAGGTTGTTGTTTGAGGAGTATACACTGATGGGTAGCCCATTGTCTGTACTGATATTTTTAATTTCAAGGATACCTGCTAAGAGCACTGGCTAGGGGTTTATAGAAGTTATTAAACATTTGAATAAATTTTAGAGATAATCTGAACACAGAAATTTGAATAAACAACTCCTGAAATATAATCTTTACTCTGATATTGATTCCTTCTGTGAGCTTGGACAAATCATGGAATTCCACATGTTCAAAAGTTGTCATGCTAATTATGGATGCTCAACTTGGGAAACCTAAACCCCAGTTTTCAGCAGTGCTCCATTAAGGCTTAGATTAATTTCCCTTTAATTTCTGAATTTCTTCTTAGATGTATCATGTTGTCCCTGTGATAAATTAGGTACCCAAATTTTGTGGCTATTTTGATAAATGTGGAGCTTAGCACACCTGCCTCAATATCACAGTTAGAAAATTAGGGTACTATGTGCCTAAATTATTTGTTTTAGTTCAATCTTGTAAATTAACGATTTTTTTATATACATTGGGCACTAGGGCTGTGTGAAGCTTCAGTCCCTGATTCAATTCAGCAGAGATTTGGCCCAATTTTGTAACCAAATCTCTGAATCTGAGTCAAATCAAAGGACCCTTTAATCTCTCTGAATCGAATTGGAACCCTCCAAATCGTTTCGGAGAGATTCAGAAAGATGCAGCAATTCAGACATAGACACAGCTTTAAATGTTTTTTTCTACATATCTCTAGGTACCAGACAGCTCATGAATGCTGGGGTGGATGGAGTGTCCCACAGGAGTGCAGGTTGCTCCCAAGCATGCTCAGCAGCAGACCTGCAAGTGGACCAGAAGCACTTCCAGTTCACTTTTCAGTTCACCGCCGAATATGTTGGGGCTCCCCTGCACTCCTGTGGGATGCTCCATCCATCCCACCATCGCAGCACTCACAAGCCATGCCTGGTACCTCGAGGTATGTAGAAAAAACGTTTAAAGCTGTGTCTATGACCGAATCGCTGATCAGCATCGAATCTTCAGATTCAGATTTGGCCAAATTGAATCGGGGACAGTGATCCGAATCAACGAATTGAATCACTGCCCCCCATTTGGGCAGAATTTGAATCTGAATCAAATAGGGCTCATTTGGCACACCCCTATTGGGCATGTCTACTCATGGCCATATGGCACCTTTGTCACCGCTGTCGTTTAGTACTTCCTTTTGGAAGTAGGAAAAGATGGCACCGTAACAACCTGGACTGCTCCGTTCCGGCCATGCCTGGTTATTTTTGGCTTCTACATTGCCATAGCAATGCACTATAAAGAGATAACACATTGCTATGGTGATGTAGCGGTGGCATTACAGTTTTTGCCAACAGATGCTATGTCACCATAGTGCATCACTACAGCACCGTTATGTCTTGTGTAGATGTGCTTAGTATGGATGAAGTGGTCTTACTGTGTAGCAATACAATATTACTATCGTTCAGAAGTAGTAAGATATACTCCATACCACTCAGTACATTCAAAAGAACAGTGACTGCTATTTTTACTCTACATCTTATTTTTAATCTCCATCCTTGGAGTAAGAGTTCTAAGGAGGCCATCCCTGAACCAGTATTTCATGCTGGGTAGTATGAGTGACCCAGGTGCTCTAATGATTGGTATGATGATTCAAAGGATGACTGGTACAGTTCAGCATCTTCCACAATAGCTGTTGTAGTAATCTCTTTTGAATACTATTATTCTTATATCTTATTTCAGAATCAAGCCCCTTGTATGGCCAAATCTTCCCGACCACAAGAAAACCTTGGAACAGCTGTGCAAAAAGCCAAAAAATGTATGTTCTTCCACTGCTTTTATGGCATGAGTATATGCATAGGGAATATGAATAATTTTCATACAGTATAATGCACTCTGTAGATAGTAGGCCAGATATTCCAAAATAACTTCTAAATTCTCATTCACAGGAACTAGCACTAACAAGGGCAGATGGTATTTGCAAATCTAGATGGGCAACTCAGACAACTTAACTACCTAATTGGCAAATTGAGATGTGATATTTGATCTGTAAAAAAAAATAAATGATAGGCTGGACTTAGAGCTGGGGTTAAGGGCCTTCAAAATGTGTCCCAGGATGGGGCCAGTTGTTCTTATATAGCCAGTAGGACTATTCTCAGTGTATAAAGGTAAACATGTACATGTTTCTTTGGCAGACAGTGCATAACTGACTAAGGCACAGGAGTGATTAGCTTATTGGTTTTGAACTATTCTCAAGTCTAGGCTGTTGGGTTTTTTTAACTGAGAAAGCGGTGTTTTGTAAACAATTCCGCTCTTCACATGGAGCGTTGTTTGAGTATATGCCACTTCTGACGTGTCCAAGATACTTAGTCTTTGGTCTCCTGTCTCATTTTTACCCTACATGACAGCTATGACAAATAGGTGTTGGAGGCATGACCACCTGACCCTTGCTACATCAGAGTTTGGCCTTGTGTAGATCCTGACTAGTTCTAGTATGGACAAGCTTCGGAGTCACTTCTGTAGCTGATTCTCTTATAACTGCTGGTCATGCCATTATATGCTACACCCAGAGTTGCTTTTGATTTCAGATCTTAAATAGCTTTTAGAATAATATTTTTCACTATAAAAGTTTTAAAATAAACAAGTATTCTCCTAAAATCTGGTGAGTTATGGGAATATCTTTCCCTAAATGAGTTCCTGTTACTATCCTCCTTGTCATGCAGCAATTTGATACCAGCTTTAACCCTGAAAGTTTTGGATATGTCCATATCCATAAAGTTGACGACATTCAAGCCAAAACAGAAACAGAATGTTTCCTGCAGCCATCAACTCCTCCAGAAGCAGATGTTTCTGAAAAGGTTAAGAGTGGATCAGAGCTGAAGAGCAGCCCCATTGGAACAGGTACATGTAACCTAAAGCTGCTGTTCACTTATGGAGGAATCTGGCCACCTGATGCTTTGAATGGGTGCTCATGTCCAACTCTGCTTCCCAATGGTGTTGGATTCAGCAATGCCATCACATATCCAGAGGGCAGCAGCTCGGGCAAGCAATGGCGTAATGATGATGTCAGGACCCACTCCAGTTCTGCAATGGATGCCATTGCTCAGCACAGGTCAGGACACCTAAATATGAGCATAGCATCCCAGACACAGCCCAATAATGAAATTAGGTCATCAAATAAAGAAGAAGCCTATGTCACAATGTCCAGCTTCTACAAAAATCAGTAAACCATGAAAAATATAGCAACATAAGATATGATGTCATACAGCAGACTAAGGAACCTTTTTGTTTGGGTCTCCTACCTCTGGATGATTGTCTCAGTAAACAACAAAACTCAATAATGCACCCATCTTGTGCAATGCTAGACTCATTAGACAGTGGACATTTTTAGGAGTCCATGATTAATTAATGTCTCAATCAAACCATTGATGATCTGTAGTAAATCTATTGTAGCAAAAAAACCCCAAATTTGTCCCAGTCAGTGATAGCTTTAATGAAGTTTGATTAATCCATAATAGCAACTTTGCACTTGTTTAGTGAGCTCATCAGAGATTCAGAAGGTAGTTCTCACATGTTAGTAAGCTCTCAGTCTTCAGAGTTATAATTTATGACCAGTTTATTGATGGTCATAAAATCCCTGGCAGAAAAATTGTTACAGAATCTAACTTGGTTAAGTAGAGCCTGATCTCTCTTATGCTGGGGTAACTCAGGAGTAACTCAGGTAAAGTCTGTGATGTTACACTGCTTTACAAAAATTGTAATTGAGAACAGACTCTGGCTGGATTAATTTGGGTTTCAGAATCTGAGTTTGATCATTTCCCACTCAGCAAAATGTAGATGGAGGCAGCTCTGCTCCAGCAGGAAAGGGAGCACATGGAATTACTTTCTAATAATATCTTTGATAACTTCATACGTAATGCTGACATACTGCTAAGATACCTAGAACCATCCTCCCATAGCCATGGGAAGGGCTCTTTGGATGCATAGTACTTGAGACAAAAAAAAAATCCTATTTCTTTATGTCCAAAAAAAGCTTAAATATGCCTGGAGCCCACGTGGAAGATATGGACAGTGGTGAGGAAGAAACGAGTCTAATACACGTAAATTTACTCATGTTGGTTTTATGTAGAGATGGACGTAAATGAACCCCTTTGGTGGAACCACGCTTCAACTCTGGGATACAAATTTAGGACCATCCTCTCGTTTTAGGTACTCTGGAGCTTTATTATTTATTTACTGAGGGAAAAAAATAATGAGCCAAATTCTTTGCTGGCTTTGTTAACTTCCAATGATCTGTGTGAAGGATATAGCTGCTTCTTGCTGTATACTTGAGTCCTTTAGTATCAATTAAAACAGCTACAGAAAAACAACATTACAGTTCAACTAACCCAGCTTTCCATTTTTATTAGTTTAAACCAGGGGTTCTCAATCCCTGGCCTGCAGGCCAGAGCCGACCCCCAGCACCATGTTGTTTGGCTCCACTCCTCTGCTACCAAATTTACAGACTTGTGATAAGCCCCATGGGCCATATAGTGTGTGCCCCACACACTAGATCAGGCACACAGGGTGGCATGGGGCCTGATACCAGTGTCTGGGGCCAGGCAGGGGCAATGCAGGCTCCCAGTTCCTGATCTCAGCTTGTAGGACCTGATCTCGGCACTGGGGAGCCAGCCAAGACTGCACAGGACCTGATCTAGGTGTGCAGGCCCAGCAGAGGCAGTGCAGGGCCCAATCCTGGCATGGGGGGCCCAATCCAGCCTGTGGACCTGCACCCCAGGACCAAAAGCACCACCGGTCTAAACAGGAAACACACATAAAAAACAAATAACACAGGTAAAGATGAAATATGGCAATATGTTAAGGGGTGGGGGGCTATGGTAATTAATATTAATTATATATTAAAATAATGTGGTGAATCCCTGGTGGGTGCAAACTGGCCTAGCTGCAGTGAGATGTGTATATAGGAGATGTGTGACTTCTGTTTTCTTTGACCTCTGATGATATATTAGTGCAGCCTGTGAGTATTTCCCAGGTGGGTAGGACTGAATTATCATGATTCGTTCATTATCACCAGTCTCAGTGACTAAGGCCTTGCAGACTGTGTGCCTGGGCTGGTAATTGTTCATGACTGCTTTGCAAAAGTTGGGTTAGTAAATGGAAAATAAATTAATAGATTCTGCTATTGGCTGTAGGGTCTGTTTTTCAAGGGGCATTCTGCACATCTCATAATCTGTCCAGTGCCAATGTCCGAGGAGTACTCAGTATTTACTACTGAAGGGGGAAACCTGCCCCTGCCTACTTGCCCTACTCTAGCCTCAGACCATGGGGTACTTATATGCTACAACACAGACATCAATTATGTGCACCCACTGGGATCATAGTCAGCCTGGAGAAGGCGCATGGGAGTTGCAGGAGCTGCTATCGCCTCATGATTGCATGACAGCCAATGAGTAGGGCCTTGGGAGATCCCAGCTGCTTTACTGTGTATCAGTTCTCTTTGCAATGTATCAGTTCCCATAGCTGCTTTAAAGTCTTTTTTAGGGAGGTCTATCTATGTGCCACAATGAGTGCAATACAAAGTAGTTCCTACAGGTAGTTTATGTTTTATATGCCACAGAAAGTACTGAACACAAATCCTTCTTTTATTCATTCTCATATGAAATTAAAAAGAGAGAAAGCAGTCATCATGCTATCCCAGTCACACTGGATTCTAGATGTCTGTGTGTTATATGCCTTTTCCTCTCCAAAGCAAATGAAGAAAAACATCTACTTACATGTATATAAGTGTGTTTGGATGAACTCTGCTAAGCACAGAAGCTTAGAACATGGAAGGGTGGCTGTCAGCCTCCGGGCTGCTCGGACTGTCTCTAAGCAGCCAGCGAGAACTCATGAAAAACCACTGCGTTAACCAGAGACAGCTGCAACGCATCCGTACCCCAGCTGGCCACACCCTGGCAAACACCTTGTCCTGTGGGGATCCTCCGCCAGGAACAATGTTGTAGTCTCTGCAGAAGTGCTGGGAATGTGGCTCCAAACATTTATGATGTTTTGCAGTTTTGTTTTTCATTCCTGTTTCTTGCCAAGTGGTAAGACAATATCATCTGATCAAACTGGATGTGAATCCATTTGCTTGATAATGCTTCTGTTTAATAAAAAAAAAGCTGCTGCTAATGCTTGGATATAAGCATAGTGCGAACATAGGTGCAGACATTGTGTCGGGAACATACAGTATCTAGCCCTGGGAACGCAACACCAGATACAAAGAGGAAGAAAGAACATGTAAAACCTAATACTACACGACTCATGTATCCTGCTATACATATTTTAAACTCACACACTTTGTTTTAAGGAGACACAAGCATCTGCACTTTTAAAAAATAAGGCATTTATGAAAGCTCAGCTCTACTGTGCATGCCAGAAAAAACGTGGTTGCTCTTTTACAAAGGAGGCTTTTTGTAAAGATTTACTTAATTATTTTAATACCAACAAACTATCTACGTGGGTGTGTGTGTATACAGACACAGACATACTCTTCATATGCAGTAGGTATATTTTTGCATCACTGCTATTGTTTAAATACTCATTATATTTGTGTCTTATTTAATTGAATAGCATGTAACCATGGTTTTTATGTTTTTACCATATTAAAGAATGTAACTTGATTGCATATTCACATCTCTCAAACTTATCTTTGTCGTGGTATAACCACCTGTTTCTATTAGAAATGAAAGGTCTGATTCTGCTGTCATAGAAGCTACCATTTTTAGCTGACTCCAAAGCAAATTCAAATTTAAGATGATCACCTAATAATTAGATTCTAGACATGGAAAATGATATAATATCGTTATTATAATATACCTTGTTATAATTTTCAAAATATAGAATCTAATTGTGGAAGGTTGTCTTAAATGTGTCCCTCCCACTGCTGTGGAATGGAAAGCAGAGGGGGGTGGGGAGCAGATAGCCAGACCCCCACACTCAAATTCAAATTTAAGATGATCACCTAATAATTAGATTCTAGACATGGAAAATGATATAATATCGTTATTATAATATACCTTGTTATAATTTTCAAAATATAGAATCTAATTGTGGAAGGTTGTCTTAAATGTGTCCCTCCCACTGCTGTGGAATGGAAAGCAGAGGGGGGTGGGGAGCAGATAGCCAGACCCCCACACTCGGTCTCTCCCTGCCTGTCCCCCTTCTCCTCGCCCCCCTGTGCCTGCCCCTGCCCCTTCCCCCTTGCTGCATATTGCCCCTGTGCCTATCCCCTGGTTCCCCCTGCCACCTGCTTCCTCATGGCCTCCAGCCTCCCCTCCACTTACCTTTTGTGGGGACTCTAGCTCCAGGGCAGTGAGAGGTGGCAGCAGCCTTGGCTCAGCCTGGACAACCAGAAGCAGCAACAACTGCTCCAGGACCAGCTCTGTTGGAGCTAGAACTAGGGCCAGAGCCAGGGACAGAGTTAAATGGTGTGTGTGGGGGAGGGCGCAGGTAGCTGGGGTGGGGCAGGCTGTTGTCTCCCCCACACACTCCCCAAGCTATGCACTCAGGCCCCCCCACACCCATCCCCCATTGCACAGTCTCCCCTTGTGCCCCCCACCTTCCTGTGTGGTCTTCTTCTGCCATGTGCCCCCTCCCCTGCCATGCAAGCCACCCCAGCTCAGGGCAGATGGTGGCTCAGCTCTGGCTATGGATCCAAGCCAATAGCCAAGACAGCAGCGGCTGCCTTACCCATGGCAGCCAATGTCCAACTATGAAGTGTTGTCAATATATGCTCAAGAGATGTAGAGGGGTAGAGGGCCATGCAGTCCACTATAGAGGAAGGCAAAAATACACACAGTCCATTCCAGTCTGACCATGGGGTAAAACAATTTCCTGGCCCCAAATACGGAGATTGGTGTGACCCTGAGTGGAGGGGCCAGGCAAGACCTTCTAGTCAGGAACCTCTGGCTTTGTTCCCAGCAGGAGGATTGGCACGCCTCAGTCAAAGTCCCCAGCTGTGGCCATAACCAACACCCAACACTTCTAAGAAAGATTTAAAAGCACCCTGACACATGTAGCAGAAAGGGGTTGGGGCAACCAGAAAAGCTCAGAAGCATGAGAAATACTTATAGGAGAACATAGGCATAGCTCCACCTTGATCACCCCAAACTGATGGCTATACAACTTCTTCCTTAACACCTCCAGTGATGGAGAGTCCACAGCTTTCCTAGGCAGCCTATTCCACTGCTTCGCTGTTCTAACAGTGCAGAAGTTTTTCCAGATATCCAATCTAAACTTACTTTGCTGCAACTTGAAACTCTTCTTTACAGCAGCTCATTAAGTATTTGGAGACTACTGCCATGTCTCCTCTTATGTTCCCTCTCACAAGCTGAAGATGCCTAGCTCCTTCAGCCTCTCCTTGTATGACTTGCTTTTCAAGCCCTTGATCATCTTTGCTGCCTACCTCTGGACCATCT